TTTTTTTGGAACATCTTTGACTTCGAAACCAATGTGAAGTGGAGAATGGGCATCGTACTCATCGTACCCTCCAATGGGCATCGTACCCTCCATGTTGTTTAAGAGCTGAAGGTTTAGCAGACGTTTGTTTGGAATATGGAGTTGGAGTCGTTGGAGACTTCGCCATGGAGCCCATTGGAGTTCCCCTTCACGTTGCAGGACCCAGAGCAGGACCAAACAAGAATGCCAAGAAACCACTGTTGGACCAACAGCGCATGGGGGTTCAACGGTGCAATGGACCTCATACTAACCTCGGTTCCACATACATTCCTTAGGAAACAGCATAGCCTATCCCATTTCAAGGCAGCACTGGAAGTCAGGAAATCAATCCTTCCGTGCCTTCACTTGTCTTCAATGCCGTTATGCCATTCACCGAACCGCACAGAAACACCATTATGAATGTTCAGGCTCTCTACAGAACACTGGAAAATACGCAATGCATAACTCACAAGCACATCGAAATAACTTGAGATGCCATCTCAATCTGTTCATGCCTGCTTCTCTTCGGTATCTTTGTATCTTAGGTATGCCGTTCACAGATGGCGACATATCCCGCCTACATCCACATGATCTCCTCCACTGCTTTGGTGGCTATGTCTGGCAATGAGATTTGTGGTCTTGTGGCGACCTACATGGGAACCAAGTGCCTTGCCACCAGAAGCACACAGCCAAGCAACCAGCACGCGCGTGAAGGGCGTTGGGCGCTTAAACACCGCAGGGGCTTTTGCGGGGTTGAGGTTTGATAGGACTCCAGTGGGATCGAGCTTCAAAGTCTTTAACAAGACCAGAACTTACAGAAACGCCATATGCACCCTGCCGTAGAATAGAGTCATGCTCGAATGCACATACATAACTCGTCGAAAACTACGCTTCCATTTCCATGCGATTTGTCGTCTCTTTTACGCCTCTTCAGGCGAACTCAAGAGTTGATCCCGCACTTGCGAAGCCGCTGCTTGCCCAGCTTCTTGCTGGCGCTGATGTTTGGCTGGTTGGCTGTGGTGGAGTACTTCTTCGCACGTCCTGGCATGACTTTGGCCCATGTCCATACCAACGCCGATGGGATGACCGTCATGGGAAGGCCGGTCTACACTTTGCGCTACATCGAGCTGCTGAGATGAGATTTCAGTAGTGTTGTGTGCCGACTGAAGGGGAATGATCAGCTCATGTGTGTAGTCCAAGTGAACATAACTTTAGATGCAACATGCAGTAAAAAAAATCTCCAGATTTGTTTCCAGAACTGTCCAAAATGATTCCATGTTTCCAGATATCTTGAGGTGGTGCATCAACGTGCCGATCCTGTTCCTATTGTCAGGCCACTGCAGCTTGGGCCGGCCCGTGAAGGAAATCTCAAGGCCCTTGATGGTGACGAATGTGTACATCATTTTTTCATGGATGGCCACTGTCACAGAGTCAGCTTTGCTGAAGCCTGGTCAAATTGCTGTTCAGGTGAGTATATTAATCATTTGTTTATTGATAAATATTGCTTACATTGTCGCCTTGCTTTCCCTGGGAGATCTCCGGAAACAGAGCCAAGCAAACTTATAGAGGCCTTTCCCCCCAAACAAAAGGGGAATAACCCTCGATCCCATAAGATCTCCAAAGTTCGAGCCGAACGCCAAAATCCGTCTTAGGAAGTGGACCTTGATCATGGCAGCCTTCTTCATGTATGGCTGGGCCAGCTTGGATATGATGGGCTGGAGTCGTGAATTTGAACGGACCGCGCCACAAGATCTCCCAAGCCGCAGTGTACGACCATGGCTCTCGAATGGTCTCATCATCCACTTCCAGTTCTTTGCCGCCTGCTACATGGCCAGTTGTTTGGGCATCATTGATGCCAAGACCGAACAAGTGGGTTATTTCATCGTGACCTTCGGAGCCAAGATCGCCTACTGTGCCACCTTTGTGTTCATCCGTGCCGATGAATACCACAAGACCTTGACAGATGTCTTGCAGAAGGTGAGCGTGTCCAATGTGGGGATGATCTCCATCTTGCGCTGCAGCTTTGACATCATTGTCCCTTGCGTCATGGACGCGGCAGGTCGTTGCAAGTTGCCCCTTCAGGTCTCAGGAGACATGCTAAAGCTTGAAAAGATGCTCGGCTGCCCGGTGGCCGGTGCCAATTTGAAGGACTTGTTGGCACAAGAGAAGGATCGCACCGACTTCTCCGAGTACGTCCGCAACGTGGTGCGCCAGGCGGACTGCCCGCAAGCCTTCTCGGAGGCGACCTTGACCACTTCGGGTGTGTGGAGCTGTGGCGCGGGTGTCACGCCTCCCATGGCGCAGGTCTTGCACAGCAAAGTGCGTGCAGGGTCCGCCCAGTTCCGTGCCACCATACATTTGTCGGTGGTGCCACGTTCGGCCATGAGCAATTGCAAGGAGCGTAACCTGGTGGCAGCGATTCAATTCGAAGAGTTGGAGGACCAAGCTGATCCGGACCTTGATACCGCAGAGGCCTCCGGATATGAGACGTTCAAGGACCAACGACAGACTTCAGCAGGCTGGGGGTGGCACGGGGAGGTACACGGACATTCGACATGCAAACAACACAATCTGTAGAACCATTAGGAAGGGACATGAAGGGACAGGGATTTCAAGTATTTTAAGCACAACATGTAGCAGCGAGATGCAACGAGCGCAGCTAATTACTCGTACTTGACCAACATAGAAGCTTTGAAGACAGTGCCACTCGCCACAATAGAGACAGAACATGACAGAACGCCATCATGAATCGAAACTGTGCAATTGTTCTTTGCCATGCAACCTTTGATGTCCTTTCAGCTGCACAAACCGTGAACAAAAGTGGGTACCCTGGCTGTTCGTCGCATGAGGGGCAACTGCAACTGATCAGGTCAATCCACAAATGTCTCCTCCGACGGGGGTATTGTTGCTAATCTTCAAGACCTCCAGAAGCTTGGAGCTACCCTTCGGGCAGACGACTTTGAGGAAGATGATGCCTCGGCCTACTGGGGTCAGACCAGGAGCAGTTGCGGGCTGCGGCATGCAGCGGCGCTGCCATTTGCTGCCTTTCTCTTTTCACAAGATATTATTGTGTTTTCTCGTTTCACCAAATCTGGCGCAGTTTTAAACTGCGCGAGATTTGGTGAACATTATCGCGATTATATATTCCATTTTGTTGGCCTGGTCAGGAGCGATGAAACCATGTCCCACCTGGGTGCTTTTGTGTCCGACCACAGCTTCGATGCCCGCATTTGTGGACTTTGGGAGGGGAAGACCAGTGAGACCTTGGGCGGCTACACGCAGCAAATCGAGTTCGAGATGGACTGCCGCAGTGCCAAGGTCACTGTGCTGGGCCAGAGCCTGGGTGAATTAAGTTGAAAGATTTGGAAGTTGATGACTGGGTGGTGCCAGAAAAGTGCCCCTTCTGGGTTGGTCTCATTTGGAAGGCGGTGGATCTTCCAAACTTAGCGCTAAAACAATTGACAGGAATTTCATGGGATTTCCATCCGACCAGGTTCTACCAGGTCCTACCACCCTCTTCCAGAAGGACCACATGATTCCACCCGCCAGGGCCCTGAGCCTTGGGCGAACAAAGACGCAGCTTAGGACGTTGAATGCTCGTTTCTCCATGAACTGCTCGGTGGAGCCCAAGCAGTTGAACATCCAAGTGATTCCCACCAGTGGCACGGTGCCACCCATGATCCCTTACATTTTCAAGCGCCTTTGGCACAAGATATGCAAACAGAATTGATGGAAAGGCCTATGGAGAACGCATATCAAAACATATATACAAATATAAATATTTATAATCAAATATATGCAATATATATATATAGAGCATATCTTGCTGAAGTTCTCCAGAGAAAGCATCGAACAAGCAGCACGGGAGTTGTTCCGAACCACCAACGAAACGACATGACTGAGTGACTACTCTCAAGACAACGTCCACTACTTCGGCGCATGTTGTCTTTGCAGTGCAAAATGAGGTTTGCTGACGATGGCTCGCTTTATTTGTCCGGTCCGGCTGACAGCAGCATGCGCCGTGCTACCAGCTTCGGAGGCAGTGGACTTTGCATCATGCAGCGCGTCGATCAGACTGAGAATCATGAGAACGTTGAGCCGCTCGGCTGAGATTTCGGTTTTGGGGTCCATGTTGGCTAGGGCCCCAGGCTGCCATGATGCTCAGCTTTATAGCTTGCATGAAGCTCCCTCCCCACCGTCCCTCCCTCCCTGCTTTTTCCTTCTTTCCTTCCTTGAGTCTTATGCAAGTCCTTCTTCCATTTGCTCCTCAAGTCTTTGCTGCTTCTTGCGATGCTGGGCTGGGTGTTGATTGAGACGATGACGCCTGCACGCCTGCAGTAGAGCTGCCCCCAGCAAGTTCACCCTGTGGTGCAGAGTGGGCAAAAATAAGACCAATCAAAAAGTCCATTGTCAGCATATAAGACGTTTCTGTATTCTGTTGGTGCTGTCGTAGGGTCATCCAATATTTCCCAGGATTTTTTTTGCTCGATTGAACATGGGGGGCAAGCACTGAGTGATTGCCACAGAAACTGATGGCCAGGGCTCAAACAGTGGAATGCTTCTGAACAATCCAGGTTCCATCAAGCCCTGGGATCTTTCATGTTACCAAGAATTCAGATGAATAGACCAATTAACATAACTTAGAGTAATTCACGTGGCATGTTTGCTCTTCTTTTCTACACCCCGCTGGTCCTTTTCCCATGTTTTTCCAGCCCAGGAAGACTTCAGTGCGTTCGGGACTGCCGCCTTCCAAGCTGCAACCGCTCTTCGAGCCGGACCCGGAATTCCGCACCGAAGCGCCAGCCGTCGCCGTGGCCGCCCGAAAGGTTCCGGTGGAACAGGTTCCGGTGCCAGTGGGACCCAAGAGCCATTGGATGCAGGAGCCGTTGCATGAAAGCCGGGAGACGAAGCGGTTGTACGCGGGCTCGGGTTTGGTGCTTTGGTGGTTCGAATGATTTGGGGAGTGCTTGGGCCCTTTTGGCGGATTGACTGTGGTTGTGCTTTGAGGGCTGGCTAGGGTTGAGATGCTTGATGCAGCAAGTAATTAGCTAAACAAACAAGGATGTCGAGGGAAAGCCTCCGCAAGGGGCATACTTGAACAGTCTTTAAACATCAGCTTTATGTCAACAGTAATCATTCTTACTAGAATCAAGAATTCTTCATGAGAAGGGAATTTGATGGATCAAGCTTTACTCTCCCTGCAACTAACACGGAAGTGGACAACCCCCTGTTTGTAGAGGAAAATGGTCTTCCAAGGGGCCATTCTCCACTTCCATGTCAGTTCTAAGGAGTGTATAGTTTATAATGTAATCCAAGTCCGTACAGCGCTGGAGAACGTGATTTATTTACAGTAAGATGTGCTGAAAAGAAGGAAGACAATACCAAAAGCAAGGGAACCAACAGGAAAACGTCAGAACAGATACTGGTTGGCTTGGGAAGGAGCAGGATGAGCAAACCCGAGGCTGGAGTTTGTGCCATACCAGTGCCACATGTACTTTCGGAACAGTTCCATCGACTGAATCGGAAGACCAATTCCCACCTTATGAAACATCATTGAAGCAATTGAACTTGGGCAATGACGGCCAATGGACCAATATCCACAAGATTACATCACATTGAAACCAGGTACCAGGTATCTACCACGATTTCAAGTTCACCAAACCTGCCAAACACCTCCTGTTTGCCTGAATATGGTTTTTTACATCACAATTAAAGCTGCATACAAAATATGTAGTACACATCAACATGAATCACAGAAGAAGGCATACTTCATCTGCCACGCAACGCCACAGTCACAGAAGTTCTTCCAAAGCTCTGAATTTCCACATCATCACGAGACAATCAGTGCCAATTCTTGGGAAGAGTTGGAGGAGAACCTGCTGAACACACGAGAGAGCACTGAGAGCACTTCATATTCATGCACGAAGCGGAACATAAGTTGAACACCTCAATAGAGCAAAAGCTGGATAGTTCTTAAGTTCTGCCAAAGACACCATAAGACACCCATCAACGCAGTTCAACATCACAACCATATCTCATATATAAGTGCTTGTGACTTTCCAATGCCCATGGCAGGGTGAACCAAGCCAGCAGGCGTTCTTTGAAACAACCTGGGTGTGACCGTGTATGATTGGATTATTTGAATTTTTGATGATGGGTGTGCTCTTCAGATTTAGTATCTATAGCTGGGCTCTACTTCACACACGCACAGATATATATATATATATATACATATGTGTGTTACGTATGCGCTGTGTGTGTGTGTCTGTGTCAGTCCTGGTGCATGTGTCAAAAAGTATATATTCACAACGCATGTTCCTGTCTGTCACTCAAACGCCATTTTTTTGCACTAGTTGCGTTCAACAGTTTCACTGATGATATTTATCATTTTCTTCTAATTTTTCCTGCTTCATGCAACATGGGTGACAAAACAAACAGATACTCTGTTCCACGAGTTGCCGACTGGACGATCTTCCAGGAGCCTGCTGTTGCGGCATCCTTGGCACTGGCCCTGACCAGCACGCTGATTGCTTTGAAGAAGTCCATGTGAAGTGCAAATCCAGCAGATCGACTACAGTAGATCTAAACGCAGACTGGGACTGATACCCTGCGACGGAAGCCCACGTGGATCCCCAAAACTGCTTGTGAAAACAGGTGTTTTTTGAATTCATCCAATTTGAGGGTCCATGTCATATTTTTCGAGAGGGTATGCGACGGTATCTCACAGGTTTCGGCACACATGCACGCAAACAAACGCGGACAGACGCTCAGAGTTGGCTTGCAGATAGATGGCCTCAACCCATGATGAAGCGACTGTATAGCAAACATTGCCAATGGACCAAACAGTGTGCACATGTGTATATGTTGTTGGCAGCATCTCAAGGTCTCATAAGGTCTGCGCAATTTATATAAGGAATTCATCGTTTCAAGAATTTTAAGATGGGGCAGCTTCTTCATCCCACCATTTCGGCTTTGTTCCAGCACGCAGTGCACAGATTCAGCGATGGCCACGGGCCACCGACCTTCACATGATCCGATCGTCCACTCGTCCCAAATGATCTTCAGTTGTTGGTGTTGGCTCGGCCATCGAATCCAGCTGCGGCGCGGCCGGACGTCCCGTTTGACCTTTTTTTGAAGTCGTGAAGCTACGTGTCACGTTGGTTCCCACTGGGGTGAAACATTGTTTTGGATGCTTGGTCAAGGTGCATGAGAGGTGCATGATTCCTCAAGGTGTAGTTGCAGTTCCTCGTTCCACCCCATGTGACTCATGAGTTTGTCCAGAGAGGCCGCTTGTAGCGCAAGCTTGCCGCCCACAGTTTGCGCTAAGTTTCAAGGCACGGAACAATGTTTAGCCGTTCAGCCGTTCGGCCAGACATTATGGAGAAGTTGGCTGTTGATCAGCGCTGCCGCCAGTAGCCAGCCATGTTCTGCAAGGGTCTCTGCGTGGCCCGCGGTTGCAATGACAGAAACTGTATCCATGTAAATCGGGTGGGGTTTGTGCCAATCATATGCAAAAAACAATTGTCCCATGCCAATCTCTACTGATAGCGTTTCAGGGATGACCAAATGACTAGGGGGGGCAAGATGCTTCTTCTGATCTTGCTGTTTGTCGTTTTCTGCCCTTGGCACAGAGGCATTCAGCAAGTGGTTTGAGCCACCAGCCACTATTTGAGAGATGTTGGTTCTAGATGCAAGATGACCCATCGATTCTTATCCATGTTTAGACTCCACCATCCCAAACCCAAATGAAATTTGCACTGCTCATTCTTGCAACAAGCCTCGCTGATCCCCAACTTCAGTCATGGCCCAGCGTTCAGAAGCCAAAGGAAGGCTTGGAGCGCTTTTGAAGGCTGACGTATTTCTACGGCATGGTTTTTAGGTGCACAGAAATAGGTCTCATTCGGTCAAAGCCCTGGTGCTCACCGATGTGTTTTGAATCAGGGATATGCAGTAGGGGAATGATGCTATCCAAATCCGACACCTGCAAACGCGTGAGAAACAGAATCCCATCGTTCTGATGCTATTTCCATCTATTCCTGTGGATTAATTCCGGGAGGACCATTTGAAGTGCCGATGATGCTGTCAACACCGGTGTTGCCCAGCTTGCTCATAATAGCTCGATTCGGGGCGGTGGTGATGGTGACAGTGCGACCACCCCGCATGTGGGGAACTACTGGGAGGCACGGGCCTGGGCGAAACAAAAGAATTCATTATCTTGCCCCATCTTGCCCCAAACAAAGTATAACAAAGGAAAAAACTGGGAAATGACACCCAGGGTTTTGACAGCTTTTGACCGACCAAGTCCGTTTGTTCCTCAATTGCTCTCTAGGAGCACGCAGCAAGGACCATGGCCTTTGCAGCAGCGAGAAGGATGGAGAAAACGTCGCCCGGCACGCGCAGACCCAGATCGATTTCCGCACCTGACAGATCGATGGGCTCCAAAGAAGCGCAGATCCAGCAACCTTTGTTCATGTCATTCACGTCAAGACTCAAGACCTGGACTTTGTCCAAGGCCTTGGCCTTCACACTGACCTCGGACGCTCTCGTCATCCGAGGTCAAAGGATGTGATTTTTTCTTTTCCAGAGCTAAGATGTGGTAACGGAAGGCGTGAAATGCTAGTAGGTGGACCTTTTGGATTCGAGAACGTCCTGCCAGAACCGCTTTCACCAGATTGGAAGAATGTCCTGCCAAAAGACGCCGCCACCTACCATATATATATATATATATACCAAAAGCATCGGGCTGCCCAGTGTCTTCTGGACATCTCCGGATCCCGGCAAGACCGCCATGGCTGCTTTGCCGACTGCACACCTGCCATTCGGGGAGTAGGTTCTGTGCTGCCGCTGCGAAAGACCTTTCGTTAAAAATGGCCTTTGTATGTTTGTTGGTAACGATCTGCATGCTTTAATACGACTAATATACAACTACGACCACGACGGTTTAATCCTCTTATCATTGATAAGTCATGGGCTCGGCTGAGTTCCCAGAAACTTGGGACCCCAAACCCCCTCCGCCCGCCCACCCAACTTGTTTGATTCCCTCAACTGGATTCGATTTTCTGGAAGATCCCTGCATCCGAAGCGCCGGCAGACAGGGCCAGTTGGTCCATTACTGCTTTGTTGGTGGTCCACATTCAGCACAGCCAAGGATCAGTTTCATCCCTCACCTCATCAGTTTCACTCTCGCCGAGCTCCGCTTGCAGGCGTGCAGGCACGCAGCACTGCAGCATCCAAGGCCCCAGGTGTGCTCTCCTGAGTGAAGATCCTGACTAGAAGATGGGTGTTCTCATACACGGAGGCCTGACATATTTGCATAGCAAATCGCGCAGGAAGATGTTGAATAGGAGGGTGTGCATGTTTGGTGTTCATATCAAATCTATACATATTCATATTTGAAAAACAGTTGCACGGTGTCCACCATGTGCATCAGATCTGCCACCAATTTGCTGGCACATTTGCTTGGCACCTTTGCACAAGCTGTCCCTTCAAGACGTAGGGAAGTGTAGCGACACATGACCGAGCATCAAATATGTTCTTGCACACAGAACACTCCAAAAACAAGAAAGCCACGCAAGAAGCAAGTGAACATGCAAAAACACAGGAATTTGCTTAGTTGTTGCATGTTTATTGGCTTGTTGTTTCCTTTTTTCGTGGTAAACATGAGAACTTGCGCTCATGCGAGCCTTTTACCAGTCAGCAATGTTTGCACAATCCTAAGAGGTCCTAATGCGGATTGAAAAAAAAAACACATACAAAGTGAACAAAAGCAAGAACACCATGCATGTGAGCAAAATGTGAAAAACGAACACACGAAACCAAAAAAGAACAAACCAAAACACAAAGAGCAACGCTTGACCAAAGCTCCCTACCCCGTTGTGTTTGCTTTTTGGCTCCGTCGGTTTCGCCGTGCCCGTCTCGCTCGAGGTCCACACACCGAGCTCCGCTCGCTTTGCTCAGGAGCCTGTCGTGGGGCCATGAGTCCGGGGGAGTATGTCGTGGTTTTCTCAATGAAAACGGACCAAATGGGAATGTATCATTCGAAGGATATTCAAGGTAATTGGCTATGAATTCAGGGTATTTTGGTTGCAAGAATCAACTCAGTTGCTTTGAATATTGTATCATAGCTGACAAGAGGCCCAGTCTCAGACACTTTGGGACTACCACACGTTGCAGGACCTGACACTCTTTGCCGACACTATCACGTGAAGCGACAGAGGTTGTGTTGCATTTAAAGAGCCCAACCGTTGTGCTGGGGCTATTTGCGTTGTTTGCATCCATGTTGTCATTTGAGCAGCGAGATCGTGTTGAAGTGCAGCCGTTTCTGCTCATTTGCACTGTCAATCTGTGCGGTTCTTGCATTTGGTGGCGTTGAGCTACTCTTATCCCGCCCTAAGTTGGATGGCTAGCCTGTTGAAGCACTTGCCGACATGGATCGCCATCACAGTGACTGAGTGATGGTTTGAAATGTTTTTCTGTTTCCGTGTTGTTTACATACTGCACTACCTACTATAGCATTACTGTATAATATAGCCTTTATGTTTACATGTTCTGTTTTGACCCGAGAGAGGTGGCAACTTGGGTCATTTGCTGGAAGATGGCAGACCCGCAGCAGTGCCAAGACCTCTCAGTGACTGGGCGGATTGGAGATCCTGAAGAGGTCCAAGATCCTGAAGAGGTCCTTCCCAATGACTTGAAAAAGAGGTGTTTTTTTGGAACATCTTTGACTTCGAAACCAATGTGAAGTGGAGAATGGGCATCGTACTCATCGTACCCTCCAATGGGCATCGTACCCTCCATGTTGTTTAAGAGCTGAAGGTTTAGCAGACGTTTGTTTGGAATATGGAGTTGGAGTCGTTGGAGACTTCGCCATGGAGCCCATTGGAGTTCCCCTTCACGTTGCAGGACCCAGAGCAGGACCAAACAAGAATGCCAAGAAACCACTGTTGGACCAACAGCGCATGGGGGTTCAACGGTGCAATGGACCTCATACTAACCTCGGTTCCACATACATTCCTTAGGAAACAGCATAGCCTATCCCATTTCAAGGCAGCACTGGAAGTCAGGAAATCAATCCTTCCGTGCCTTCACTTGTCTTCAATGCCGTTATGCCATTCACCGAACCGCACAGAAACACCATTATGAATGTTCAGGCTCTCTACAGAACACTGGAAAATACGCAATGCATAACTCACAAGCACATCGAAATAACTTGAGATGCCATCTCAATCTGTTCATGCCTGCTTCTCTTCGGTATCTTTGTATCTTAGGTATGCCGTTCACAGATGGCGACATATCCCGCCTACATCCACATGATCTCCTCCACTGCTTTGGTGGCTATGTCTGGCAATGAGATTTGTGGTCTTGTGGCGACCTACATGGGAACCAAGTGCCTTGCCACCAGAAGCACACAGCCAAGCAACCAGCACGCGCGTGAAGGGCGTTGGGCGCTTAAACACCGCAGGGGCTTTTGCGGGGTTGAGGTTTGATAGGACTCCAGTGGGATCGAGCTTCAAAGTCTTTAACAAGACCAGAACTTACAGAAACGCCATATGCACCCTGCCGTAGAATAGAGTCATGCTCGAATGCACATACATAACTCGTCGAAAACTACGCTTCCATTTCCATGCGATTTGTCGTCTCTTTTACGCCTCTTCAGGCGAACTCAAGAGTTGATCCCGCACTTGCGAAGCCGCTGCTTGCCCAGCTTCTTGCTGGCGCTGATGTTTGGCTGGTTGGCTGTGGTGGAGTACTTCTTCGCACGTCCTGGCATGACTTTGGCCCATGTCCATACCAACGCCGATGGGATGACCGTCATGGGAAGGCCGGTCTACA